TGCATAAAATAGGATTTTATGCTCTAGTGCATAAAATAGGATTTTATGTTCTAGTGCATAAAATAAAATCGTCGTTTAAGACCGAGGCAATGACATCTGCGCCAACAGCCACGCACACTAGAACTTTATAAAATAAAGTTTTACTTTTATTTTTTTAATTCGTGTTATATTACAAAATTAAAAAAGTATAAGATATAGAAATGCATAAAAAAATTGCATTCAATTTTAATTAAATAATCGTATATTTGTAATATTGTCGTTTAATTTCCTCGCAATCGAAGTGAAAAGCAAAGTGTATAACTAGTTCATAAAACCCATTTTACCTTCGACTTAAGTATCCACCCTCGCCTGCGCTCGGGTGGATATGCTCGTCTCGGGTAAAATGACGCGTTTTGTACAATTGTTGTACAATCTACTATTTTTGATTTAGCCGCAATTTAATAATGTAAAAGAACATTTCGTATTTGACAAATAAATTTCATTCCAATTGACGCGCGGGAACTCGTAGAGAAATAAAAACCCGGCGAAATATTTTTATGAATCGGAACGCCGCGCTTTATATATCTATTACATCCTACCAAATATACACAAAAAAAGTGTCAGATAGGACAAGAAAATAAAAGTTGATTATTGATAAATCTATTATGTTTTGTAAAAAGTCATAGAACAAATGTTGTTGGTTATGATGTTAGTAATATAGTATTTGAAAAATAACCTTATATTAAGATTATTTTATCTTTCACCATCTCTGAGATGGTGTTTGTACGACAAGATTTTGATGGCGTAATGGAGGTTCTAAGTTTGTTACGATTGTAACACTTACCCAAAGCGGAGGCGACTACAGCGAACGCCCTAGCAGTAGTATTTCGCACATATTCATCTATATTGTCGATGTCAGGTCTCATAGTCGAAATCATAGTGGCGAGACCGGCCGCCTTGGCGAGATTGGAGATGATCTCTCTGCCTTCCACACGCGCGTAATAATCTTCATCGATGAGAAGGGGCTCGATTACTACCAGGATCTGGTGGTAAGTAATGTAAATTAATAATTTTCTGGAAAAAAAAATATACGCGATTTAAATCCGGAAAAATAGTTTCATTTCCTATGTGTAACAATCGCGAAAACCTAAGAATTCGATAATAATTTTCTATTTCCATAACCTCCTAAGGCCCCGTGTGCATCAAATTGTATAATAATAATAATAATAACGCATACACACTCATAACCCCGCACTAGGTAAACTTCGAATCGCGGGTGCCATGGACACACATAGGGTCGTATTCCAGAACTCTACTCAATGCTCAAGTCAGGATTTGAGTATGTTTTAAAGCACTCGAAATCATACTCAAGACCCTGCCATTAGGGTCGTATTTCCAGTGCTTGAAATAATACTCAGATCCGGACTTGAGCATTGAGTACAGTTCTGGAATACGACCCATAGACAACCACAAATTACAGAAACTCACTAGAGAAATAAATGTAGGTTATACAAATATTTCACCCGGCCCAGGAATCGAACCCGGAACCTCTGCATGGCAGACCAGCATGGTAACCGTTCGGCCATTGAGGCAATTTGAATGATATATGATATGTGAAGTGGTTCAGACCCAGACAATATTATTCCTATGATCGTGTAAAGCCCAGTGTACAATATAATGAAGCATCACATTCAAATTTAGAGCCATATATTCTAATGACCATGGTATTCAGAAACGTAATCCTGGTTGCGTTTTACCAATACGTTTTAACAATACGTCAATGTGTAGCTTGATGTGCTGTGTACATTGGGCATTTAGCGCGTTTCCCATTGTAGTTTGCTAGGTCTAAGATGGATAAACCATTTCATATTAAGCAATTTCCTGTACTATGAATACCAGACGATATTAACGATAATAACGATAACTATGATGGCAAATATCCATAATACCCAGACCAGAACCAACTTAGAAATGCTCGTTTCACAAATTGGCCCAAATCGGGAATCGAACCCGGAACCTCCTCATCAAGCGCCTATAGAACTAACCACTGTACCACCGAAGAGCATAAGCACACCGCGTAATCCAAACCCGACCACGCGCCCCAAGCCGAACCCTACCCCACAGAAGGTGCACCACCAGGGCTCGTTACATCCATAGAAAGTGGTACTAATGTTATACTCTGAGATGAAATTGAAGTTTTAAAATGTAAACAAACAACTGTCTTCTTCACTTTACGAGAAATAATTATAATGGAAAAAATACCCTTTTGGGTTAAACAACCCACAATGTTTTAGAAATCACTGTGTCATAAAATATTTTCAATTGATTATGACGATAATACGAGGAAATGACAAGGGCCACGGCCGTAGAAAACTACCTCAGCCACGGCGCAAGAAAAATATAACACATAGGAACATATTCTATATAGTTTTGTTTTTAATGTCAGTTGCTAATACGTTATTGCCTATCAGTTTTTTCGCTATTATAAAAAATATTACAAAGAAGTATAAAGCTTGCAACAACTCGACGCATGTTTATTAATACTTGTATTTAACACTTTTTCTTCTTCTTCCTGTCCTTACTCCAATTGTAATTAACACTATTTAATAGTAAACAACGTAGCATTATTAATTTATTACCCTTAATAAAAAACACTATTTTTAATAAAATACAAAAGTAATATGTTCTAGTAGCAATAAATTATTGTTAATAACGGTTCTGCTAAAAGTATTTGTGTTTGCATACCTAATAAAAAAAAACGAATACACAAAAAGGGCTGCCAAATGTTGCGCATTCCCGAAACATTGACAACAGAAAAAGGATAAAATATCTTTCCATGGGAATCAGCTATTTGAGCTCATCTTATCAAATAGGGTATTGTAAAATTAAGGTTTGATAATATGTTGTTTGCGCAATCAATAGCACATAAAGCTATACATTTTCAATATTTTTATAAAAATATACAAGCTCCTCCACCTCCATGCAACAAAACATGACACGTCAATGTGTAGCTTGATGAGATGCCGTCTGTACATGCATATAATTTAGGAACAATATAAAAAATCTTGCGTATAATCTTTTTTGTATTATATCTGGGAATTCGATTTCAACACATTATAACTTGTTTTATGTCAATAGTACCATTGGAGATATTCCCACTTTGTATCATTATTAACTTAGATTACTACACTTGCCTTGTGTACATACGGCCGAACCAAATCGTCAAGTTTGTACAGAATCCTGTCAATGACTTTGACCAGCAGATGTCGCTCCTGATCCTCCAAGGTAGGGCTCATGAGCAGCGGCAGAATCTGGTTGAAGAGAGGCCCTGCTCCGAACTCACGGGCCTTGTCGGTGATCTGACGAAGTGCTGCCTTGCACATAGGGGGTGTACCGTTCTGTAAGTTAATGTTAAAAAAAGGCAAATTATTTATTTGCTTAAGACAAAATAGTATCGTGATTGCGGAGCTTACAAGTGCGTGAGATAGACGTGGAGTGATGCGCAAGTGATGGAATGGTTCAATTTAGGTTGCGGCGGAACAGAATGGAAGCGAATTTTTGTAACGATATTGTACGTACATAGCATAATGAACTTTCAGTCTGCGCGCGCATTCCTCGGAAGGTTTTGGCTCCTATCTGATATGTACGTTAGACAATTGACCATAAAGTTCGTTATGGTATATACAATATTGTTATAAAAATTAGCTTCCATTCCATTCCGCCGCAATATAAATTGAGCCTATTGCATGGTATATAAACACGTGCATGTGCATTGAGTGAGCACCCTCTGAAAAACGTTTATAAAATATTAGTCATTGAATAGTAGTTTTAAAACAATTGTAGAAACCAATCTCTCCATTGGTAAAAAGATAAAACAAAAGATAAATAACTTAATGTGTGCTCACTCAGTGCTCACAAAAGGCCAGTAAGATCTAGAAAATTATGTTTGCATGTAATATTCGTGTACTAGTTTTTAGTACTATTTTTTCTTTTAATTTTACTATACTTTCTTACATTTACTCAATCCACACCTTTTAAATTGGACGATTTCTTACAAACCAACTAATAGAATTAAATTTCGTTTATGTCTAGATTTAGTAAAAATTATAGTTTTAGTATTTTGTAACATATAAATGAAACAAATAATATGGGTTGTTTTTCAATAATAATGTTTTAAGTGCTCAGTCAATCCTCACATTTCTGAAAAGTAAAAAACGTCAATAACTTTTGGTTTGTAAATATTACTGCCTCCGTAGCATGTCGCCGCCCTCGCGCGAGCGAAAGCTATTGTATCCACATTTAACTATAAAATTCGAGTTATAAAACCGCCATTTTAAAATTTTATCTTAATAGCTAACATGGCGAGCACCGTGACGTCACATTTTTTTAGCATCGCGAGCGCCTCGACCAATGGCTCCAAAAGAATATCGCAGTACCAAATATGGCAAGGTCACAGCAGATTTAAAAACATTTTGACAGTTCTACACAGTAATCTTATCAACATAAAAATTGAGCGCGACAAACGAGATAATTAACGCACGCACTCAACATGGCCCCGCACTAGGGAAACCCTGTGTCGCGGGTGCCGTGGACATACACATAGACAACTACAAATTACACCCAAACTCTAGAAGTAATCCTATCTACAGCGACGGGTCCCTGAAACTGTGGTGTCAGGACACAGTAACTTTCCAGTGGCTAGAGGATGCCATAAGCACCATCAGGCTGCCATCTGGGGAGCCCGTCTCATTGAAAAATGGGGTGGAGGCTCCCCGGAGTGTGGTCTGCGGACTGCTCATCCCTGTATATTGGGAGGATGCGCGTCGAATCGGCCGCATCCTCAAGTGGCAAAACTGGTGGGAGAAGGTGCACCGCTGGGTGGTCCACAAGCTGCAGCAGCAAAGTGAACACTCCTCCGTGGTGGTGAGCATCCCGGAAGAACTCGTCCCTGCTGTCCAGGGGCATGACCGGCGTCTAACCTCGGCGTCTGCCCGTAGTTGTGCTCGCCTCTATAGATCTATATGGCGAAGACTGATGTGCCACCACCGCAGGAAATGGTACAGCTAATCAACTACTGAGAGCAGAACGGCCAGAGTATCGTCGTGGCTACTGACTCCAATGCCTACCATCCGTTGTGGGTCATGGAACTCACTAATGACAGAGGGAACTAACCTAACGTAATATTTATTCACAACTAACCTTCAAATCGTTAATAAAAGTATAGTGCCAACTCTTATAAATAAAAGATGTAGAACTATTATAGACCTAACCCTAGAGGAGCAGTGGATCTTATCCACAACTGGCACGTGTCCGAAGAAGCATCTTTCTCGGGCCACAGATGGATCAGATTCAGCTTAGAAACAGTTATCAAAGTACAACAACCGAAACGGAATCCCCGAAAAACCGATCGTAAAATTTACATTGACAAACTAAATCAGAGCCTAAGAGGACCAGTAGTACCGGGAAGACTGCTGGATACAACACAGATTGAAATACAGGTCAAAGAATTGACATCAAACATATTGAGCAGTTATAACTCCGCATGCCCACTGAGTGAGACACGCGACAAGGACAACACTGGTGGGGGCGTGAGCTTGAGAGACTACGTAGGGTAAGGAGACGCTTCAATAGAGCAATGAACACATGCGCGGATGAGGACTGGGAAAACTACAAGACGGCTAAATCCAAACTAAAAAAGCGCATACGGTTCAGGAGCACCGCATCATGGCGAGGCTACTGCGGAAACATCACGTCTTGTGCACAGCGAATAGAATAAGAAAAATCCTAGCCAACTCAAATTTAACAGAGCTGGGTTCTATACGCAAAATAGACAACACATTCACAACTTAACCTGCGGAAACGGAGACAACCCTACTGAAAGCACATTTCCCGGGATGCAGGTTCGTCCAAGATGACAGATACGAAGAAATGAACTACAACACATCGACCCAACATTGGCGATACGCTGAACAAATAGTGACATACGATAAGACAAAATGGGCAGTAAACACCTTTGAACCATACAAAGCTCCGGGCCAGGATGGAATGTTCCCCGCACTCCTACAATGGGGCGGGGACACACTGGTCCAGCACCTGGTCGACATCTATCGGGCCTGCCTAGCATTCAACTATGTACACCATAGCTGCAGAGAAGTGAAAGTCATATTTATACCGAAACCCGGTAAAAATGACTACGTAAATTCCTTCAGGTCATCAGCTCACTTCGTTCTTTTTGAAGATGTTAGAGAGGTTATGTGACAGAGAACTGAGAGACGGAGCCCTAAACAACATACCATTACACGGAAACCAACATGCTTGCAGCCAAGGTAAGTCCACTGAATCGGCCCGACTTGCCGTTGTCGGCAAGATATTAAAAACAAAGCAATCTGCCTAGGCATTTTTATAGATATTGAAGGAGCCTTCGATAGAACCAAACTTCTCCATCATGCAATCAGCACTAAGAAGACACGAAGTGGATGAAGTGCTTACCAGCTGGATTAGCGACATGCTTAAACAAAGAACAATAAGAACAACAGCAAACGAGACCCCATGAGCCGTAGTAGCGAAGGGGTGCCAAGGAGGAATACTGTCGCCTCTGCTATGGAACACGGTTGTAAATGATCTCATTATCAAACTGAACAAAGAACATTTCTATGCAGTTAATTATACTGATAACAGGAAACTATGCCAATACACTCTGCGACATTACACAGGCAGCACTCCGGATTGTGGAAAGATGGTGCAGAGTATACGAACTACCAGTAAATCCAACTTTGACAGAACTAGTAATGTTTACCAACAAAAGAGTACTGGGTAACTACCTACTACCAAATCTCTACAGTACAGAATTACTGTTATCAACCGAAGTCAAGTACCTGGGAGTAATACTAGACAACAAGTTGAACTGGAACAAACACCTGGACAACAAAATTAAAAAAGCTACTATCGCCTTTTGGCAGTGCCATAGGAAGGTAGGTAAACAATGGGGACTTTCACCCAAGATAACACTATGGCTCTACACAGAGGTGATAATGATTAGTTACGGCGCGACAGTATGGTGGCTTTGGTTCGTACCAAACTAACGACCGAAACCTATAAGCTGGATAAATTCCAAAGACTAGCCTACATGGCGACGACTGGCTGCATGAGGACAACTGCAACCGTGGCCCTCGAAATGATGCTGAATCTGCGACCCCTCGTACTGGGAAGCGGCGTCAACAGCAGTGCGTCTAAACAGAGACAGGCTTTGGAAGGACACGAGGTCCCCACACACAGAAATCCTTCATAAGACTTTTAAAGGAGGCTGCTGTGGATAGGATTTGCTCAGTTGTCGGACTGGGATAATAGCGACAGCGACCAAGAGCAACTTGTGTCCTCAAGAACGTTTAGGCGTATAAACTTCATGGTAAGTTTAACTGACGCTGAATTTACATCCAAATTTAGGCTGAACAAAACATCAGATGAATTTGTTTTAACTGAAATAATGCCGTTTATCAAAGTCAAATCAAAACGGTATTTTTATAATTTAGATTATTTATCACGTCACGAATACGAACAAACATCAACAAAACATAAATTGACACTAACATTTCGCCGCTACCGCCGCGCGCCGTCCCTTTATTTTTTTCCATACTATATGGCCGTCCCGCTCGTTTGACAATAAACGATCCGTTCTGGACAATAGACGTACGGTCTGTTACTCGAAACACGTTATTCTTGCCGTACTTACGGTTTAAATATTTTATACTGGAAAGTTTGCAATTCATTTATATTTTTGCCAAAATCACATATATAAATAAATTAATCTTAGAAACATAACCACCATCTTATTCACTCATTCATGTAATGATCTTTTACTCCGATTGCGTGGAACTAAACGTCAGAGAGGGAGTAAATTTACGACCGATCCTTTTTTTTTAAGGGCGCTAGAGCCGAGATAGACATATTGAAATACAGATTCGGCAGCGATCGATGGATCGAATAAAATCTGGATAGAAAACAATCTTAGATTCAGGATCAAATATAGAAAGCGGCCGTAAAAGACACAGCGGCACACGTGGCAATGACGCAGCAGATGAAGTAGCCAGAAAAGGGTCGGAGACGGACGCTGTAGGACCAGAATCAATAGTGTCCCTCCCCTACCAATGGTCAAGAACAAATCGACTCATCCGAAGAACAAAGTCCGATGTGATTATTGGCCAAAAGAGAATAAGTACATTACGAGAACAATTTCTTTATTCAAACTAAGGCCTATGTACAGGTGTTTTGAGAATTTATATGTCTTATTTCGTTTCGGAAATACCAAATCGAACAACGGTCGGTCTAACATCCACAGTGAAGAAGAACGAACAAAATGTACTACGTCGTGAGAACAAGCAGTCTGGCACATAGATCTTTG